CTACTACTACTACTACTACTGACATACTACTACTACTGCTGCTTCTGGTAGCAGCAATACGATGATGACGACGACGGTCGGTGGGGGTGGCGACGACGACGAGGACGACGACAATTGCGATTGCAATCACGATCACGCTGTACCAGCAGGAGAAGCAGTTTGTTGCAACAATCCATCCTGTCACTCCCACAACTCCAGCAGCCAACAGCCCAGGTTCTGAGCTTTCTGCCACAGCGGATGCATCCGGGATTTCATCAGGCGCCCCTCTCTCGGGCAGCACCGACACCTGCATCCAACCGAACGCTCAGCCAAAGCAGTGCAAGTTGCAAATGTTTGCCTCTTCTGCGGTCGCGTCCTGAGCCCCAAGGAAAGGGCAGCAAAGGGATAACACCATGCAGTTTTGAGGCTGCGCAGAGGCTAGGCACAGCACGCTTGGGGCCTCTTCACATGGCCTCACCCCCATATGCTCTAGAGGCTCAGAGAAGCACACCGTCTGGCCACCCCACCTGGAGGCAGCAGTAGTGACTTCCGGCGCGCCCTGCCCCTCACCATGGAGCCAGCTCTGAACTTGTTGCAGGTTCAGCTTCCAGACCTCAAAAAATTGAAAAAGGTGTGACAAGAAGCGGATTGTGCATAGGAGCTAGCTGAGCCCTGGACGACGCGCACCTTTGCCTTGGCCCTTGTCCACTTGGAGAGCGCGGACTTGATCGAGTAGCGGCTGGCCATCTTGGCCATCTCCCGCCCTCAGCAAATCCCTCCATGTGCATTGCTTCTTTGAAGCGATGCCTGTATTTCAATACGTCTGAAAATACACAGAATCTTTACATGAGCCTGTAAACGGTGGCCCCTCATGCCGCTCGCATTGTATTTGATCTTCGGGCTCATGTTGACAAATCCACATGATCGTGTCCCTCATGTTGCTTAATTCATCTATGCCTCGCATACTGACATGACCATATGTCGTTCAATGTGTGGCCCCTATCACCCTATCTAGTTCCGAAGGAATGGTCCTGGATGCAACAAAGCCGACTGGGCTACTCTGCTCCTCGGCGTAAACGGAGCCACCCCATAAAACAAGTTTCCAATTCATGTTCCAATTAATTTTCCATATGATTCTCCGTTGTCGGGGCAATATTTCTTCTCAATATCCAAATAAAACCGAAAAAATCATTTCATTGTCCATGTAACTCTCCATGTGAATACATGTAAATGTATGAGATGTAGAAGCACCCAAAGCACTGAGCACCAGGCCCTCCTCCAGACTTGCCTCGGAGCTCGAACAGCTCGAACGCGCCTGAGAACGAAACCAACGATTCTGGGTTACTGACACTGACCACCCCGTCTATACTATACTTCCCCTCTGCAGGTCACCTCCTTTTTAGAATCACACTTTTTGATTTTGAAGGAAAAAGGAGGAATTGTAGGATGTCACAGCTTCCCGGCCTCTGGAAGCGGCTTGGGCGGTTCGGAAGTCACGGAGGTCACGGAGGGCACGGCGCTGAAGTGCCTGGGCTGCCACTCAAAAAGGATTACTTAAACTTCCTAAAGGGTTCAGTTACGGGGGTGATTTTTGGGGGCGAAACGGCGCCGCGCATCGTTACGCTTCGTGTGGTCATTTCACGCA